CTTACCAATAATTTTTTTTTATTCTATGACCTTAAGATATTTAAGGAATAAGATAATAATACAATAAATATATATTTTTTACAATTAATTTATCTTAAAAATATAAATTTTAATTTTAATTTAATCAATTAATTAAAATCATCAATGTATTAATAATATTAAAATATATATTAATTTTTATAATTTTTAATATAAATTAATTATTAAAAAATAAATTTTTATATTTTTAAACTGTATCTTTTTTTTTTTAGTAATATATCTTTGGGTGGATTCAAACTCATCCAAGAAAAAAAGAGATGCACCACAATATAACCGAAAGCTACTTCGGACCAGGTGATATTTTTGAACTGTATCTTAGTACATATTTTTAAACTGTATCTTAGTACACACAAGCCTATAAAAAAAATGTTGGGACTTTAAATTCACGCGTCAGCCCCTCTACTCTCGAGAACGTTAGTCACGTTAGTCTTCAAATGCACTTTACAATGTCCCAACACACAGTGAGATTACTTTTGCTCATACTTTGATTTTGCTTGGTTTAATTATTAAGAATTAATTAATAATTTATATTTAATAATTAAAATTATTATTTATATCTTTTTTTGTATATAGAGAATCACTGAGAAAGGAAGACATTTTTTAAGTCATTAATAAAAGTTAAATTATAATCAATTAAATCAAAGTGTTAACATTTGAAAATGAATCATTATATTTAAAGAGTCGATTAAATTATTTTTTATGGCTTAAATATATTTTTTAGTTACAATATTAATTATACAATTAAACAAAGTTTAGGGCAACTTTTCAAAAAGAAGGAAAACCAACTAGTAGGGTCACCCCAAGAAACAAACAAATTAAAAAAGAATGATTTATTTGATATATACAATTAATGCATTTAGTAGTAGGATTCAAATAGAATGAAATCCACTAAATTTCAGTCCTGTTAAACAACGAAAAGAAAAAGCAAAAGAAAAAGCACTCGAGCCTTCGGTTTAGTAGACTCAGATCATCTGTTAAATGCATACTCTCCTCTTCTTACGATAATGGTTCAATTTCGATCTCTTATAAATTTGTTAAAAAAAAAAAAACAACAAGGAAAAGAAAAAGAAAACTAAAAAAACCATGCATCACATGGCTATAGAAAAAGAAACAGAAAAAAAAAAGGCAAAACCATAAGTTAAGCCCCTGAACTAATCCCAGAAATGCTATCAAGCCCCTAGACTTTAATTGATGCATATAAGCCCTTGAACTCTGCGATTAAGGCAATTAAGCCCTTCTTCTTAAGCCAACTTAACCGTCGTTAAAAACTCGCTCGCCTGGCTTAACTGCCGTTTGGGACTTGCTCGCCTGGCTGCTTGGATGGCAAAATATTGCCATGTCATGCTTATATGACCATATGACAAGGGATTTGATATTTGAGCAGGATTTATGACTTATTTGAGCATTCAATTTTTTTACTTAAATAAAATCTAAATAAAATAAAGTCATACATTTAGGTAAAAATATTATTTAAATAAAGTCTTAAATTAAATTTAATAAATATAGTAATAGACTTTAATTTTTTTTATATAATTCATTATGATTTAATTTTAAATTAATTGATAATAATATAATTTTTAAATTTTGAAAATTTAATGAAAGAATAGTATCACTTAAAATGATAAATTTATAATTATGACATATAATAATAAATAAACATAATAAAAAAATGCATATCAGTTTTAATTTTTAAAATAAATTAAAGTTTCAAATTTAAAGCAAATA